CCGCAGCGCGAACAAAGGGGGCGGGGGCCGGCCCGGCTCAGGCCCCGCCCCGTCAGCCCTCGAGCCCGCCCCGCCCAGGCTCCACCAATTGAAGGCCGGAGCCGGTAACAGGGGCGGGGCGGGGGCCTTTTAAAGGGACCCCTCGGCGCGTCCACGCGGTCGTTGCGGGGCCGGCGGAACGGCCTCTGTGGGCTGGGGGACGCGAGCCAGGGAGCTGACCGCGCCGGCGCCTTCGGCCCCCAGGCCGCAGGCTCAGCCTCGGTGGGACCCCCATTCATAAATGCGGAAGACGGTACACAGAGAAGGGACCTACCAAGGTCACACAGGAGTTAGTGGCTCAGCGTGCGTAAGAGCCCAGGTCTCCCGGCCCAGCGCTGCTCTGCACAGCGTCACACAGCGACTGGCGGTTTGTATTCTGAACGTGCGGGGAATGCCTCCCTTCTGCGTTGAGTCCAGGGAATTTGCCAACCTTTATTGAGGGGGATTCTTACCAAGTGTCTAGCTAGAACTCCCTCCACCCACACCCTGCAGCATTTTAAAGTTCATCTTTGGGTTGGTTCCTGGCCAGGCTCCTAGCCCAGATGGCCCCTCCTTCCTGCAGGACCACAGAGGCTCCAGTGACCTTTATGACCCACAGATGACCCCCTCCCCGGGCCTGGCTTACACTCTACTTGTTGTGGCCGTGGGGGCAGAGGGTCAGTGTGGGAGGCCTGAGCTGCCCCAGGGAGGCAGGGAACAAAGGAGACACTCAGCTCTGGGCACCTGGGTAGAGGCTGGGGGGCAGGTGGACGGGGAAGGGGGCGGGGAGGGCAGCTGCCTTCGGAAGGGTATAAAGGACAATCAGATCCTGGTGACTTGAAACGGGCAGTGATGGAGGAGACCAGTAACGCGGGACGTCTCAGTTGGCCTTTCCTCTGAGCCCAGCCCCTCCCCCTGCCCCCAGCTCCCAACATTGGGGTCATTCATGGGGCGCCTCACCAGCTGCCATCCCCTCCCTCACTTCTACCAGCTCCCTCCTCCGGAAGGAGCCCAAGAAGAGGACCCAGCTGCAGCTCCAGATGTGGAAGGACTTCTCTCGGGGCGGGGGGAAGGGAGTCTGACTCCAGGCTTCTTGCGTCACCCTCAGATGATGAAACCATGTCAGAGATTTGGGCAAGATGTGGGCTCGGGCCTGAGGATACGTCTTTGGTGCCATCCTCATCCCTTTCCCTCCCCCATGCCACAGATAACTGCTCCATCCATAGCCCAGATTCCAGTTTGTGGTCAAACCAAAACCAAAGACAATTTCAAGGGCAAATTTCAGGGGCAAATCATCACCACTCCATCCCCTCCCCTCCATTTTGCTGGAAAACAGCAGCATGGCCATCAGTGCTCCAGGGTGGAGGAGGGGCGGGGGCTGGGGCAGGTCCTGGGGGCACCCTGCACCCTTCGCTGGCATCTAAACCTGGAGGAAGTTCTCTCTAGGCAGGTCACCCCTCCAGGGGCCGGAGTCCAACAGCGTGTTGAGGAGTCAGGCCCTGGACATTCTCTTCCATTTTCCAACCAAAATCAGGTAGGGAGGAGCTAGCGTGTGTGGGCCCTCTGCATGAACAAGGTGCTTTACGGGCACATTCTCACTTCATTCTCCTGACCTTGTGAGCTAGGCTTTATTCTTTTTCAGTTCTGCTGTTGGGTAAACGGAGTCTTGCCCAACACATGAGCAGCAGAGCCAGGACTTGAACTCATGCCTCTGGTTCCAGACTCCCCATGCAGCCTCCAAGCAGCTGCCCAGGGAAAGGGAGCTGGGCTGGCCCGGACTTGTGCTCCAGACTTAGTCCTCCCGGATGATAAAGTTGCACTTCGCAGAACTGCTCCTCTGGGCTTCTCTGGGCCCAACTCTGGCTTCCTGCCTCCAGGAGATCCCCTCTGACTTCCGAGAGTAGGTGACCCTTCTGACTCATAGCGTTACTGCTGGGAAGTGGCGCCAGAGCCCTGCCCCCCCACCCCCCTCCAGGTCGCAGGATATCGAGCCAGGAGGAGCAGGGAGGCACATGGGCTGGAAACTTGGGCCTCCTAGAGGTCAGGGTCTCAGGGCAGCTCCCCCCTGGGACACCAGGGAGCAGCCAGGCAGCTGGGTGTCTAGACCCTGCCTCCTTGGCGCTGCTGGGGGAGGAGGTCAGGCGGGGACCCTGTGGTAGTAAAGAGGCTTAAACTGCAGCCTGGGAAGACTTAATCAGAGGGTCAGGGAAGGCCTAGGAGGGCACCCGCCCTCTTTGGGGTATGTCCAGCCTCAGCCCAGCCCTGCTTCCCCCTCAGATGTGTTCCCACCTCCCTCCACCCATTTCCTCCCCGCTACTTTTCCTCTTTCTATCCCTCCTTTCCAAACCCCAGCGTTTCTCCACATCGGCTGCCTGTACGCATATCCCTTTTCCCGCGCGCACACACACACGCACACACACAGACAGACACACACACACAGACACACGCTCATACACACGCGATACTCCATGTTTGGCCCTGAGCCCCTTCTTGGACTGGAGTCTGAGCCACATGTCTTCTCCTGAGCTGAGCCCCACCCCACTAGCCCAGGCATCTTGGGCCTCCATCTTCTCTCCTGATGGGAGCGGTGGGCATCTGAGCAGATGGGAACCTGCGGGCTGCAGGGGCCCCTCTCCGCAGCAGGAAGCACCCACGCCACAGTGGTGAAAATCCTCAGCTGGGGGGGGATGTGTGGAGTGGGCAGCCATCTGGCCCAGATCTCTCAGGCTCAGCCTAGCTCTCAACAGCAACCCTGCAGTAAGGAATCAGAACACTTAAGAGAAACCCTTAGGCTCTAGAAACGTGCCCAGGGGTGGCCTGAACTTGAGTCCCGTCCCGTGGTTCTTTGAAATTAGCAGCAGGCTCTGGCATTGGGAGGAACTGTCTAAGAGCTGACATGAGTTCTAGGGGTGGGGAGGGCAAAGTCCTGGGCCCCCAGCCCCAGCCCCCAGCCCTGCCCAGCAGCTGTGCCTGGTTCCTGGGAGAACAGGCACTGGTCCTCCCTGCTGGCAGACGGCCCAGCCCACCTGGAGACAGAGCCCGGTCCTGGCCACCAGCAGGAGCTCAGCACCCCAGAGAAGGCCTGCTGGCGCCAGGCACTGAGACCTTAGCTCAGTGGGGGCTCAGCCTGACTTCCTCTGTTACAGTAGGAGACAGACTTAGCCATAGAGGAAACCAGAATTTGTTATAAATAGCAAAAAAAGAGAGAGAACTGCTGTGGATTACAAATACTCTGTCAGTCTTTGAAAACAAACAAAACAAGCTATTTTTGGTTTCAAATGTCAGTGAGGGTTTAATGTGCCACAGAACCTCAGGCACGGGGTCTCCGTCCATGCTGCTTCTCGGTGCTTTCTCACACAGTGTCAGGGCCACGGCGGGAGCAGCGGCCACGGGAGCCCTCAGATCATCTAGTTTGACAGCTTCATTTTCAGGTGCGGAAACTGAGGCCCAGAGAAGTGGGGGAACTTGTCCAAAGCTGCACAAAAAGCCGGTGAGCAGGCACAGACAGTCCCATAGAGGGCAGTTCCCACGACAGCGCGGTAGGACCCAAAGGCTGAACATCGGAGCCAGGGCTGTGTGTGTGTCAGGTTTGCATGCAAGTGAAGTCTGTGCAAAGTGACAGAAGACAGCCTGGAAGCCAAAGTGTGGTGACCCGAGTCACGGAGATCTGGGTTCAGATTCCGGCTCTGCCACTCAAAGCCATGGGAGGACTCCCACCCCTGGAATGAAGTCAGTCACACCCACCTGTTCTCAGGGCTGCGATGAGGTGGGAACAGGGGAAGCTGTCCCGAGCACCCAGCACCCAGCTCACAAGATGGAAACGCATTTCCTTCATTTCCTGTGGCTTCTCCACCCCTTCTTCTGAGCCCCCACCTCTGACTGGGCAGAGGGCAGATTTGTCATCAAGACCTTAGGGGACAGGAAGGCTGAGAAGAGTGTGAGTGAGACCGGGGCCAGGGGTGTGGCGATGAAGTCTCCTGCCTCAGCGTCGTGGTTGATGGGGGGGCGGGGGGGAGTGTCTCCAGCCTCCGCTGGCTGCGGGGAAAGTGTTTGCCAAGGCAGGAGGGCCCCGGCGGGCTGGACCCCTGCAGAGCGCGCCCCCCCCCGCACGCAGCCACGCTGATCTGTTTGGTGGTGTCTCTGAGCCGTGTCTCACTCAGCCCAGAGCTGCCCTGTGCCAAGGTTGTTTCAACCCTCACAATGGCCTATGAGGCAAATACCGTTATTGTCTTCATTTTGCAGAAGAGGAAATGGGCTCAGAGGTCCCTTGGCTGGCGTGGTGGTCATTAGTGCTTCCACCAAGTATTTCCCGACCCTCTGCCTCTGGCACAAGGCTGGCCGGTGTGTCCTCACTCCCATGTTAGGTGTGGCCCTGTGACTCTGGTTGACCAGTGAAACGTGGGCAGGACCCATGTGTGTCACTCGGAGGCGGACGCTCCCCGCAGCCCGGCCCCTCACCCAAGTTCACGTTGTCTGTGGACTGTGTGTGAGAAATAAACTTTGTGCTAAGCCACCAAGGTCGTGAGCTTGTATGTCACCTTGGCGTAGCCCACTCTCCCCGAGCTGATGCTTGAGTGCGGCGCAGAGCCAGAGTTCCGGTCTGTAAAGGTGCCGAAGGGCCCAGGGCCTGCCAGCACTCCCGGAAGCCTCTCTGGGCTTTTGGTCTCAGGGCTGCTTGGAGCCCTGTGGGCAGGTGGAAGCAGGCGACGGCTCCACCTGCCTCCACCCCCCATGATGTCTGCGGACTGCTGGGCCCTGGGGACACGTCCCCCTTCTGGCCGGCTGTGCTGAGCCGTCCCT